GCCATGGCACTCTACCCAGGGGGAAAGCTTGAGGCTCTGTCTCAAAAAAAAAAAAAAAAAAAAGTAAAAAAAAGTATGGCATAATGGTTAAGAACTTGGATGCTGGCTTCACCATTCAGTAGCTGTTGAGTCTGGGGACTATTACTTCCCATAAACATTTTTTTTTTCTTTTGAGACAGAGCCTCAAGCTGTCGCCTTGTGTAGAGTGCTGTGGCATCACAGCTCATAGCAACCTCCAACTCTTAGGCTTAAGCGAGTCTCTTGCTTCAGCCTCCCAAGTAGCTGGGACTACGGGTGCCCGCCACAAGGCCTGGCTATTTTTTGGTTGTAGTTGTCATTGTTTGGCAGGCCAGGGCTAGATTTGAACGCGCCAGCTCTGGTGTATGTGGCTGGCGCCTTAGCCACTTGAGCTACAAATGCCCAGCCCCCATAAACCGCTTTATATGTAAAAAATCTATATGGTGACTGTAACAATCAAATGAGCTAATGTACTAAATGCTGAGTACAGCAGGATTTGGTACATGGTAAAAGCTACGTTTTGTCATTAGTATTGTTATGTGTGGATATTTAGGTAACGTTTAGTTTGCGTGAGCAGTGCCTGCCACTATTGCCAAAATAATGTGGGACTGAGGAGGCCAGGTTTAAGTTCCAGAATCAGCAGCATGGCAGAGATGTGCAGAGCGCAGTTTGCTAGGCTTCTTTGCTTCTGCTCCCTGGAGGAGTGGATGACACAGGCTTGCAGCGGTGGGAGTGATTCCAGCTACCCAGATGGCTTGCAGTTTTCCCACACACAGACACTACAGAATGCTCAGCGTCGTCCCAGTTATTCTTAGTTCTTTTAGTAACCCACTTACTCTCTCAGCTTTTCTGTTGATATGATAATAGGGTGGGATAGGGAGGATGGAAGGAATAGTAAATGTTAGTGTTGTTTAGAGCTGAAGCTCAGTTTCTCACGTGGGCTGCTTTCCAAGGCAAACTATGACAAGTATGGTAAACACACCTTCTGAGCAAAAAAAATGAACATTATTGTATGGTCCAACAGGGAATTTGTGCTTTTTCCAAATGTGAGACGCAGACTGTATGTAAAAGAGTATGATTTTTGGACTATCTCAATAGTTGCAGATAATAGAGCAGAATGTTTTGAAACTGTACTATTTAAACTAAAATTAAGTGCTACCAGGCACAGTGGCTTGGGCCTGTCATTCAGAAGTTCAGGGTGCAATGAGCTATGGGTGTACCACTATATTGCAGCCTGGGTAACAGAGCAAGACCCTGTCACAAAAAAAAAAAAATGCCGTTTAAGTTTGAGTTTCACCGTTGCATTAACCATGTTTCAACTGCTCAACAGCCACAACTAGTGGCCACTGTATTAGATGGCATTGACAGAGAATACTTCCATCTTCACAGACAATTCTAGTGAACACCACTGCTCTAGAATAAGTGGTTGGTAGTTACATTACGGATTGTCAGGGAATAGTGCAATCTTGGATCATATGCCCTATAATAAATCTTTTATCAATTCACCACAATTCTTTTAATTCCCTCAGTAAGCTGTAAAAGGCAGTGCAAAGAGCACAGGGCCAGGCCTTTGGTTCAGATCTTAGCTTCTGTCCCAACTTGCTGAGTGATGCTGAGTAACCCTCCTAGGCTTGGTTCCTTCCTCTATGAGATAAGGAAGTTGGGCCAATTGAGATTTTTTTCCTTTGAGCTTTAAAATCCAGTGATTTAATATGTCTTTTCCCGGAAACATTAAGCTCACAGGTCATGCGTTGATCAAAGACTTCTTGTTTGAGAAACATTGATCTTTTGGCATAGATAACTGTCAGCAGGACCTCTCTCCGATGTCTCAGTATTTTCTGCGCTGTGTCTGAAGCATGGGCTCTCAACCATTCAGGATCCTCTACCCAAGTACTACACCTCTACTAGGCGTTTTGGTTTTGCGCCATTATGCGCGGCGATTTGTTGCATGAATCAATTCTGTGCTTTTGGAAATTTCATATTTCTCTTTATAAAGGGCCTTGTTACATTAACATGGGTTAGTGACTCTCTTGAGGATGTTATATTATGACCTATGGTAGTGCCAAGGGGAATTCTTGGCAGTTCAACTTCTCTGGTAGATTATGAAGGACAGTGGTCTTCTGACTTGTGGGTTGCTCACGTCCAGTTTGATTTGGTGTCCTAGCTTTTCCTCAGTGTCAGCAGAATTGAACCCAGTAGCTGCTTAGCACCTGGGCTGGCCCTTTGCTTCCTGCCTGTTGTCATTAGAGGAAGGTGTGCCTTTTTCTAGAAGCATCTTTAGACATTCAGACAAGATACTGCTAGCCTGGCTGCTCTGGGTAAGGATTTTCTTTTTCTCTCGTGACCTGAGGAGGTCTTATGTTGAATAAGAGCCATTTCCCACTTTTCTTGCTAAGGTACTGATAGAGTTTGAGGAGGGAATATGGGTTTTGTGGAAAATCATGAGTCCTCGCTCCTTGAGCAGCCTATCACTAACCAGCCGCGTCCTTGGGCAAGGCCTTGACCTTCTCTGAGCCTTAATGCTCTGTAAAGCCTTCCTCCCCATCTGGGATCACCAGGTGGAATGTAATATGGGTGTTCTTTCAGATGAGTTTTCCTATAGAAACAAAGAAAATTGAGAACGCAATGAATAGGATTCTTTAAAACAATCAGGGCGGTGCCTGTGGCTCAAAGGAGTATGCCTGCCCCATATACCAACCCCAGACCCCCTCCCCCAAATAATAACAAAATAAATTAAATAATCAAGGATCTGAATCTGACTTTAATAACTAAAATCAGAGGGGAATAGCTTTGTTTCATTTGAGGAAGCTTTTACCTAACTCTTTCAAATGCACCAGGGCATTTTTGCAGTCTTTATTCTAATTAAATCCATTTATTTTAAAACTTGTTAAAAATACATGTTTAAATCTTATCAGTTAATTCTAAAAAGAATGAAGGGAGAAACACATTTTGGTAAAGACTTAGTCGTCCTTGATGTTTCTGTTGTGATCCGTGTGATTAATTTGGCACTCTTCTATTAAACGTGTTCCAATACCAAAGTTCTTTCTTTCCCCCCTATTTCCCCTCCCTCTCTCCCACCGATCTTTCTTCTTTTTGTTTTTCTCCCTTCTGCTTCCTCTTCTCTACCCTCCCTGTCCAGGACCCAAGTGGAAAAAGGTTGCTGTTTTCGGTTAGTCTGGGGCGGAAAAATAATCCTATGATTCACTCCCTTTTCCACCCACCTTGTGGGGTGCTCGTGGCCTTAAATTAGCCGACTTCGTGTGTGTGCACGTGTGTGTGTGTGTGTGTGTGTGTGCAGCGCGCGTTCCAGCGGGCACACCCGCCTGCAAGCCCGGTGTGCGCGCGTGCCTGTGTGTGTGTGTGACCTGCGCGTGCACGTGCTGGCACACATGCCTGGGTGTGAGCGTGTGTGCGTGAGTACGCAGTGCGCACGAACAGCGGCGCGCCCTCCGGTAATCCCGGTGTGTGTGTGCGTGTGCGCGCGCGCCGGGCCGGGGGCCTCCAGCCCGCGCGCTCCTCCCGGTGCGCGCCCAGCTGTTTCTATAGGAACCGCGACCGCGCCGGGCCCCTCCTGCAGAGGCCCCCGAGCGAGCATGCCCAGTGCGAGCCGCTAGTTTGGCTCCGGTCAAGGTTTCCAGTAAGTGGCATGCGGGACTCCGGAGCGATCCTAATGAGCTGAACCGAGAGCCTTTGTGTGCAGAGGGAGGCGACGGCGGCGGTGGCCGCCTGGCTGGAGACCCTGCCCCGGGAGCCCCCGGCGGGAACAATGCTTGCCTGCCTGACCCGGGGGAACTTACTGGACGTCCTGCAGGAGGGCTTCAATGAGGTAACTGCCCTGCCCCTCCCACTCCCCAGCTCCCCTCGTCCGTCGTCTCCCCCCTAGCCTCCGGAAGAGGTCCCCTCCGCCCCCCATCCTCACCCCGACCCCTGAGCAAATCGCCTGTCGAGCCGGTGGGTGCGGTGCAGATGGGTGAAACGGGAGAAATCAAAAGGGCTGCCTGCCTCCAGCTAAGCCGGGCCATGACCTTCCCTGGTAGCGTACCTGTGTCCAGAGGACAGGACCCCAAATCGGGAACTTATCTCCTTCCAGAAGAGGTGGTGGTCTCCACTCTTCCTGGGGATTCACCCCAAGGAAATCCTCAAGGAATCCCTGGGTATTTGGCAGACGTACTAATTCTATTTCAGGAGCTAACCGGCTGAGCCCAGGGAGGGGTGGCATTGCATTGGTAGAAAGTTTGAAAGGGCAGGAGACTGAAGGTGGTCCATATGAAGTGCCCTCTCCGTGTTTAAATCTCCTTCTGAATCGGGGCAGTAGATTTCTCTGCAACCAAGGACATGGTTATGAGAGGAGCTACCCAGCGAGAGAAACTCTGGGTTCTGGGCCCAGTTCAGGGGAGCCAGGATTTGCTCTCTTCTATGGAGAGTAGGAGAACTGGGGCCTCAATCTGGCAGGATGGGCTAAGGCTGACTGAGGGTCATTTTCTCCTAACTCGTTTTCACAATTCTGTTATTGAATCCATGTGCTTCTCTTGTGACCCAGGACATTCTGGTTTGGGACCCTTCCCCCTGGGGATTTGTGCCATCTGTCTTCCACTGCTGCTGGGCCCCACCCTGTGGGTCTCCTAACCCACATCAGGGTAGACCTCCTCCGTTAGGGGCGTCTTTCTTCATTTCTTTCTTCCCTCTATGACTCTCTTTCTTAAATTTAAGTTTTTTTTTTTTAAAGTCCATTTTTAGTCAAACAGTGAACATTCTCCTCTTAAATATGAACATTACAGGCAAGCTTGAAATGGTTCCCCATTGTAGCTCTTTCCCCAGAGGTAACCATTCTCATGGATTTGTGTGTCAGATTTTCTTTCTGCAGCTGCACTACAGGCTCTTTCCTTAATTCCTGTTTCTAATTAAGAAGCTCTGCAGCCTGACCTGCCTGAGAACCTTCCCCAGTCCTGGCCCCTGTGCCCTAGCCTTGTTCCTGACACAGAGAGGAGAACTGCAGAAATGCTGTCCCAGCCTAATCAACTGAGTCGGAATTTTCCCTTGGCTGAGGAGTGGCACAGCCTGCCCTGAAGGGCAGAGCTTGCATCCTGTCTGCACTGCAGGGTTCCTCTTCTTTGCATCATTCCTGTCCAACACATGGAAGGGCCTTGTTAACAAAGAGCTGCTCCTCGGAGTTGAAACCCAGAAGAGCCAGGAAGCCTACCTCTTTGAGTGCCGCCAGGATCCCTGGTTCCTCTTTTCTCGTTCTCTGCCTTTGGACCTCCCTGGTCCTTAGCTGCAGAAGTCTGACTCATCCCCCAATTGTGGCAGAATCTCTTTGGGTCTTCTCCTGGCCTTCTCTTCACCCCATCCTGCTTTTTCTTTTTTTTTAAGCCCAACTCCTAGGTATCGGGTCCTACTCTCTGTTTAGGAGGAGGAAACCAGCACAGACTCAGTCCTGCTCTTTGCTTTCTGCCCATTCTCATTTCCAAACCTTTCGACTGAAGAGCCACATAAATCAAGAGGCTTGGCTATCTTTTTCATGCTTTGGTGCTTCCATAAATATCCCCAGATCTCCAAATCTTATAAAACATTAGGGAAAAGGGGAGAGCGAGAGTTGTCTCATTGTGGTGGTAATGGAATCTTTATGAAAACCACAGATACACAACTTTTAAATTAGTTGATCTCTAGAATATGGTAGTAATGCTTTTTTTCCCACTTCATGATATTTGTTTTTTCTACCTGTCCTGTAAACTTCCCTCCACTCCCTCTACAGTCTAATTTACATCTGTTCCTCTCTGTTAGTAGAGTTCTGAGAGCCAATTAGTACTTTTGGTTTCACTGAAAAATTGGCATCATCTAAATAATGGTACTAGTAATAGCATGTTAAATTTAAGTGGTCACGTACAGTTTAAATAATTCTTTCATGGCTCGGCGCCTGTGGCTCAAGTGGCTGGGGCGCCAGCCACATACACCTAAGGTGGCGGGTTCGAATCCAGCCCCAGCCCGCCAAACAACAACGACGGCTGCAACCAAAAAATAGCTGGGTGCTGTGGCGGGCACCTGTGGTCCCGGCTGTTTAGGAGGCTGAGGCAGAAGACTCGCTTGAGCCCAGGAGTTGGAGGTTGCTGTGAGCTGTGATGCCACAGCACTCTACCCAGGGGGATAGCTTGAGGCTCTGTATCCAAAAAAAATAAAAATTAAAAAATAAATAAATAAATAATTCTTTCATATACATGATGATATTTCTTTTTTTTTTTTTTTTTTTTTTTTTTTGAGACAGAGCCTCAAGCTGTCCCCCTGGGCAGAGTGCCCTGGCATTACAGCTCACAGCAACCTCCAACTCCTGGGCTCAAGCGAGTCTCCTGCCTCCGCCTCCCAAGTAGCTGGGACCACAGGCGCCCGCCACAACGCCCGGCCATTTTTTGGTTGCAGCCATCATAGTTGTTTGGCGGGTCCGGGCTGGGGATTCGAACCCACCACCTTAGGTGTACGTGGCTGGCGCCTTAGCCGGTTGAGCTATAGGCGCCGAGCCGATATTTCTTTTTATATGCAGTATCACAGTTAGTGGTATTGAAGAATAGTATAATTGGTTATTTCAGAGTTCATGGGGTGCTGTTTGACTTATTCTAGCCATTAGGGTTGCTTAACAGATCCAGTCATATTCAATTTCTTTTTTTAGAGTTATATGATAAGGATGTAAATAGGAATTTAAGCACTGGCGTCACAGTGTGCTTTGATTCCCCTGAGAAACCCTTCCTACTGAGACTGAATACTCTCCCGTATCTAGTCACCTCCTGGGAATGATCCAAGGTATCTAAAGCTGTTCATCACCCAGATGCTTTATAGATTGGTGTGGTCAGGACCATGACCTCATTCTCTATGGCAGAGAAAACTGTCACAGGAAATGGAGCTATGGCCCTAATTGGTTAATTATAAGGGAACCCTGCAGCAGAGAGTAACCCTGCCCTCCAAATCAAGGCTTCCCTCTACCTACTTTTGGCCTGGGTTCGCAGTCTTCATGCCATTATGCATAACTGCAGGACAGAATTAGCACCGGCCTCCCCATGCCTGGCAAATAACTAACAAAACTGATCTTTGTCAGTGCTGTCAGTGCAGTCCCTTGTCTTGGCATGGTTAATTTGCCTTATGAATTAGTCACCAGTTTGGTGACTGCTACATTCTGTGGCCTCCTCTGGCTATCATCCATATTTCCTATGTTCTGGCCTTGCCCAGGCTTTCTGTAGTTCACAATTTTCCCATTCTGCACACACCTTAAGATTGTTTATTTGCTTAACTCTGCTCCTTGGTATTGACGTTGCCTAAATGTTGCCTTTGGTTAATGTGGCAACATGTATTTCTGCAAGTGTTTGTCTGGGGACTGAACTTTCTTAAAAAAGACATTGGTGGCTGGTGCTGTGGCTCACACCTGTAATCCTCGCACTCTGGGAGGCTGAGGTGAGTGAATTGCTTGAGCTCAGGAGTTTGAGACCAGCCTGAGCAAGAATGAGACTCCGCCTCGACTAAAAATGAAAACTGAGGCAAGAGGATGGCTTGAGCCTAAGAGTTTGAGGTTGCTGTGAGCTATGATCCCATGGCACTCTACCAAGGGTGACAAAGTGAGACTCTCTCTTGAAAAAAAAAGCATAATATAATTTGGCTAATAAGCATTCATTTACTTAGTTATTCATTAATTAATCATAAATCAAACATTTATTGATTAGGAGAAGGGATAGATAATTAACAAACGCCCAGTTCCTGCTTTTCAGGAATTTATAGGGAGTGACAGAGAATACTGAAAAAACCACAATAGGATGCTTAATGTGATAAATGTCATAAAAAGGTGGTGTTTCGGGAAGATTGTGGCGATACTGTCTAGTTAATGATGTCATAAAAAGCACCAAATATTTACCGACACATCTGTTTGTTAAAGCCGGATATTTTTTCCTGCTAGTCTGGTTATACATGGCTGCAGTCAGTCACTCACCAGACATTCACTGAATGTTTACTAGGCCCTGTGCCAGACTCCAGAAAATATGTAGAAGTCAAATAACATAGAGTCTGTGCCCTAATGACACAGACCAATGAAGATACAGTAGCCAGGTGCAGGGGCACAGGCCTGTAGTCCCAGCTGCTTGGGAGACTGAAGCTGGAGGGTTGCTTAAGCCCAGGAAGTTAAGGCTGCAGTGTGCTGTGACCGTGGAGTGATGGGTACACTTCAACCTGGGCAACACGGAGAGACTCTGACTCTTAAAAGTTAAAAAGATAGGGCGGCGCCTGTGGCTTAAGGAGGAGGACGCAGGCCCCATATACCAGGAGTGGCAGGTTCCAGCCTGGCCCTGGCCAAAAAACTGCAAAAAAAAAAGTTAAAAAGATAAGTCAGTGTATCAACTTGGGAAAATTGTGACACAGAAATCTTGCTTGTTGGGAAGAGTGAACCTGTGTGTGGCTATGGTGTGAAGGGCCTGAGAGGCTGAAAGTGTGGGGATGATGTTTGAAAATGATGATTGACAGAGATCAGTTCTGAGCCTTCACCTTTTGATCATAAGATCTGGCAGACTTTCCCTACCAGTTTCCCTCAAAGTCGAAAAGTAGAAATTGAAATCCCATATTAAGATTCATCTGCCTTGGCTCGGCACCCATAGGTCAGTGGTTAGGGTGCCCTGGGGCTGGTGGGTTCACACCGGCCTGGGACTCCTCAACAACAATGACAACAATAACAAGAAAAGTAGCCAGGCATTGTGGTGGCCTGTAGTCCTAACTACTGGGAGGCAGAGGCAAGAGAATTGCTTAAGCCCAAGAGTTTGAGGTTGGTGTGAGCTGTGACACCACGATGCTCTACCAGGGTAA